ATGCCCATAAAATGATCAGCGGGCTGCATTTTAGATCTGCTCGCCTGCCATATTTTCAACCAAAAGGCAGATGAGAAGCTTTGATGTGGCGACTGGTTTCTGCTACTGAAGCTGGCATTTTATCTTCTTGCATCAGATTTCTTCCTAAATTGATGTGACTCAGGCATAGGAAACACATTTTTATTCCTAAAACATGTTTTTATTGTACCTTTAAATTACATTGGGCTGACCATTGATTTGGGATCTCCAAGGTTCTTCCCACAGGATGCAGAGCAGCAGAGGTCAGGAACTTCTGGAGTTAACTGAAGCCTGTATGGGGAGCACAGGCTATAGTGAACAGAGGTCACCACATGCCCGGTCCTCATGCTTGAAGGGACCATTTCATGCTTTCTTCTCTACCCTCCCACAAGTGACAACTTCAACAGCCACTTGAGGGGTCCAGAGTAGACTTTATGCTGGAGCCAGGGCTGGGGATATTGCTCCCCTTAAGTCATATTTGAACATCCATGGGGGTTCCTACCTGGGTGTATCCTTCCCGGGCTGTGGCCTTCTTTCTTTGGAAAATATTTCATGTGTATGCTAACATTCTGGTCCATTTAAAACACCATTTTCTTCAACATATCTTTCCTGTATGAGTTCCTATTTATATAAATTGTTCACTTAACATGCAGCTCCTTTTCATGTAAGAGATAAAAATGAACTAATTCCAGTATTTTCAAAGGAGCAAAACCAGAAAGCTTTTCCTATCTCTAAATCTGATGACAAACCTATCTGAAAAAGAAACACTATGAAAGGTTTTTTTTCCCTCTGCAGTTAAAATTATCCAGAGATGAAGATAATGCTAATGTAATTATTTGCTTTGCACTATTAAAAAGAATGATTGGAATTCAGAAATTACTCAGCTCTTTAAGACTTCATTGAATCACTGAAGTTCTGATATTCTCAGACTGCTTTTATACTACAACACTACTCTAGCTTTTCCAATTTTTATTGTCACAACTTATTACAGGGTCACTACCATAGTAATACCTGAATGCATTAAGATGACAAACATGTAAAAGAATTTGGTCATAATTTTTTTTTAAAAAGTATTTTATAAGCTATGTAAGAATTTAGAGAAAGAGGAGGTCAATATGCACTGAAGCTATCAACAAAGTCTTAGAAAAGAGGTAAGATTGAGGATTGAGATGTGTTTCAGGAAACAGATTTTGAACCACATCTTAAAATGAAAGACAAGTGCCATTATGGCCGTGAGGAGGAGAAGAAAGGTGGAGATAATTCTATTGGACAAAAATGGCATTGCACATACTTATGATAGCCACTGAAAAAGAAAATACAAGAACATCTGGATCAAAATAGCTATTGTAGATGAGAATGGCTGTATTTTTAATGGCTATTCTGGTGGGAATGACATGTGATGCACATTGATCCTCTGTCTTAGCCCCTCTTTATAATAGCTAGTATGGAAACATCTCTTTCCATAAATATTTTCCCTGGGTAATGGTTTCTGTTTATGTTTCTGAGGTGTTCTTTCTCTCTCACACGGCATGTACATTATGATTTGCACTTAAGCATAGAGTGGAATTAGGTGTCCTGGTTTCTAGCTCTCACTAGAAATTGCAAACTTTCATTGATTTTGGACAAGTCATTTTATTCTTATAGGATTCTACCTCATTTATAAAGTAAGAGAGTTGGATTAGATAATTTCTGGGGTTTTATTTGGTACCCATACTTTATGACTCATGATTCCAAATGAGACTACACCTGTTCATAAAGTCATTTTGCCTATTTTTATTTTTTAAAACTGGCAATAATTGCATACTTGCAATTTATTCAAGAAAATAATAAAATCTTTAGAATTTTTATAAAAATGCATTAATAATTCATGATAATTCTGCATCTTTGTAAATCCTAATCACTTCAGAATGCCAAAGTGTAATATGCATCATATCATCTGATTTTACGTCAATATCCTTGGACAGCATGTTTCAAAATCAACCTTCACTGTAGCTGTTTTAACAAGAAAGATGATCCTTCTGTAATGATAAAAGTACATTCAACCAGAGCCCAGAATCTGATAAATATGTTTATCACAGGTCCTTCAGATGCCCTGCATTTGTAAACTTCTTCAGTGTTTATGTTTCTTCTCATGTGGCCGAAGATACTGTGCTTGGTCCTGTTCTGTGATCAGGAGGAAAACAGGGAGTTCAGTCTGTGACTAGTGAGCAAAGACAGACCAGCCACAGGGCTGCTGCTCAAGCTGTCTCTGTTGCCCACTCATTGTCTCTTTCTATTACACTTGCACTTTGAAGGACATTTGCCAGATCCAGACTCCTGGGACCCCTGTTATTTGTGTGTCTTTTCTCACCTTCAACAAGATCTCGACTGATGTTTTCATTTGTTAAAAACAACAAGAACATTCACTGGGAAACTTTTGCTGGAATGGTTTCAGGTCATCATAGCTATTTATTCCCTGTCATAAACTGTAATTCTCCATTTCCCTTACTCCCACGTCAGGGGAGTTGGTGGTTTATGGTGGACAGTCAGTGGAATTTGAATGAACAGAGAAAGATTTCAAAGAACTACTGAGAGATGATGTACCAGGTTGTAGTATTAAGAACAAAACATAAAATATTCTTGATCATAGTTTGGCAGTACAAGAAAAAATAGGCTTACAAAACAGCATAAAAGATTTAGAATTTGTTGTTATACCTCAGAAAGAATTTTCTTTCAGGGAAGAAACAAATCATGGTATTGGCTTAATAAGGGATTTCCTTTATATGATTAAAAATAATAGCTGAGGGTCTGATTGATCTCAGTTTCAGGAAAGTATGGAAGCTAAGAACGTTTTGCAGATTTTTATTTAGTGGGAGCCTGAAATTCAGGTTATGATTCTGTCTTTAACTCCTGGAAGATCTAGAGAGACCTGAAGTGGAAGACATGTAGTACCATACACAAAAGGATTTGGAAAAAGAATGGGAACATGACAAATGCTTCCAAACACTGGAATAAGGAAGAGGACACAAATGTCAAAAGTCATTAGATACTAGTTGCTTGACTTCTATTGTTGATGTTACTATAAAATAATTTTGTTAATAGCTAAATATAATCTGTAATACTGTTTGAGATATTATAGGCCTGGATAGACCTCAGAAATTATGGTTAATATGTTTCCATTCTCACAATGAGTTTGATCTGACATTCTTAGGAGAGAGTGACAGAGCTCCATCAGTACAGGGCTCCCAGATGAGGGGCCACAAACGTGAAAAACCAAAGATGGGATGAATTGAGCCTCAACCATGAAGCAGAGATAGTGGGTGTTAGCATATAATTTTTTTTTTTTTACTATAGAAACAGTTTTCTAAGGACAAGAGAAGTTTCATGTTTCCACTGAAAGCAAATTCAACAAATACTTACTGTATCTGGGTGCTTTAATTATCAAGAAGAAATTTGCAGCTGCTATTTTAAGCTTTTGGGCATTTCTGGTGAGGCACTCCTGAGGAGGAAGGTGTCTCTGAGCAAAAAGATAAAGGTCTCGTCCATTAGGCATCAAAAAATCTGGCCTAGGAGCTCCCACAGCTAAACTGCACTTTGAATCCACACACAAATCTACGCTAATCTATGGTCTAATTTGTGATGACAATAATATAGCTAAGGTAGGTGTCATTATTCTTAGGATATCATGATTCAAGCTATTAGTTTGGTTGAGTGTGTTGTGTGTTTAAAATCACAGATGATCAGGAGCTGTATGTGTTAGAATTAAAAGGGTGAGAGCTACTTTCAGTTGAATATGGAACAAGTATCCAAGTTCTTCTTTCTCTCTATCCTCACTCCAACTCCTGGTAATTTTCTCTAGACTGAGCCTGTCTAGGGAGAAGCTACTGGGAATGTAAGTTCAGCCCATCAGACTGAGGCTAAGACATAGGCCTATGCAACTTGGTGCAGTAAATCTGTATGAGCCACAGAGTCTCTGTTGTGGTTCAGGCCTCTGATGGTTTGATGGTGGTGTTAGCACAGCTGCTTTTCCACTCAGTTTCACAATCCATCACTCTTGTCTGGAGCTAGGTGGAGGCACAGGACGGGGCGTACTACTCTCTGACTGCCATGGGCAAGGCTGAATTATTAGCTTGCCAAGATGCCTTTGGAAGAACTCAGAGCAAACCCAGGAAGGATCCTGGCAGGTAAAAACTAGGCATTGTGGTTCTCCAAAAGTCCCTGAGTTCCCAGGATCCTCAAACTCAAATTTTAGTGAAACCATTTCAGAAATCTCAGGATCTTTTTCCTCACTTTGGGGTTCTCTTAGGGGTAGTCCTAGGCTAATGTTTGCTTGGGTTGCTGGTGCTGTGTCCATAGTCCTAATCTAGGCTGAAGCCCCTGAAGTCTGCCTTAGCAACAGCATGGAGCCTTGGCCAGTTGCTGTTAGAAATTATTTACTGCTTCAAGAAGAATGCCTGGCAAAATTTGGTTTGAACATAGTTTCTTCTCTTCATCTGTGCATTTGTGCTCATTAGTATATATATATATATATATATATATATATTGAGGATAGGAAACCTTGAGGGAATTGACTTAATTGGTTATGAAGTATGTGAATGGACACAATATTGTATAAGGCAAATAAGGTACAAAACGATCTACTCTTCTTCCTGCATCTCTAGTGAAATCCAGAGATCATGGGCAGGACGGAGATTTTCCTCTAGCGCTCTTTGACAAAACAGGTTTCAAAGAACATGCAAATAATGTCTCTCTGAAAGTCAATTCAGGTTTGATCTCATATTTACAAACAATAGACAAGCATCAGTATTGCTGGGGCTTCTTGGCACACGAACTTATAAGCACCAGTGTTGACATACATACAAGGAAAGCTGCACATGGCTATAGTACTTTGATAAAGATGTGAGCAAATGAAGCAATCTCTTATTATAGGTAGCTGTAAAAATAAGTGCTAGCAGGGATCTCTAAAATGAATTTGGCTCCTTACCATCAATTTTCTATTCCAGATGATCAGCTGAACTCAGAGGAAAAGAAGAAGAGAAAGCAGCGGAGGAACAGGACAACCTTCAATAGCAGCCAGCTGCAGGCTTTGGAGCGTGTCTTTGAGCGGACACACTACCCAGATGCATTTGTGCGAGAAGACCTCGCCCGCCGGGTGAACCTCACTGAGGCCAGAGTGCAGGTAACCCATGCCAGGAGAGGCTGGCACCAAGTATGTCCTCTGCAGGGTCACATTGCTGAAGGCTGTTTAAAAACACAAATTGTAGGTTTCAGACTGGAACTGGTACTAATAAGATCTACATCTGGGCAATACATGGACATACTCCAGTGTATAGCTCTGTTTCTTTGGGATGCATGGAATTAAAAAAATCAAATTGAATGCCTTTAGGAAGAGCAGACTATTCCTTGCTACAGGTCCATCTCCTCCTCATTGCTCTGATCCTTTCACATTCATGTTGCATCCACCATGTGAGCATTTGATATGTATCCCTAGCTTTAACTTTGACCTTTAGGTAGGCAAAGAGAGTAATTCTCTCTTCCTTAAGCTTTCCTCTCTAGGCTTTGGGAAACAAGTTTTCCAGAAACTTCTTATAATTAATCGTGATTAAGAACCCTGGTAGAAGTGAAATAAATACTTAGGAGCTGAGTTAAGAGAACATTCACAGTGTCTCTGTGGATGAAAGGTACTTCTTTCTAACATTCACATCACGACACATCAGCTGGAAGCCAGACATCTAGAAAATAATATAACTTATGATTATTTGTAATAATTATAATGATAGCAATATAACTGACACTGTTGAGCACTTACGTGTTATTTATATAACTAATCTACTTAATTCTCACAGAAATTCAATGATGCAGATATTATTCTTCATTTTATGGATGAAGAATTTAAGACAGTGAGGTTAAAGTATTTTGCACAAAGCCACACAGCTAAGAAGTGGCCAAAATAGGATTTGAATGCCGATATTTAGATCCAGACTTTTAATGACTAACTAGACGTTGAAGGCTGGGATATGGCTCAGTGGTAGAGTACTTGCCTAGGTACAAGGCTCTGGGTTCAGTGGTCAACACATGAATAAAACAGACTTTGAATAAATAAGTTTCCTGACTAAATGCTGTTAGAAGTATTGTGCTTTGTTATCTCTGCTGAAAGATATTGTCTTCCATATTGCCAGTGGAAGCTACTGCTTAAATTTTTTAAAAAAGGAGGACCAAATCTGTCTTGTCTTTCTAAAGAAATTATTATTTGTATGTCTGTGTTCAGTCCGAGTTTGAGAGATTTCTTTCTGAAAATGATACCATGTAGATGGATGGGGACTTGAGCTACTCCAAGCTGTGACTAGGTTAGACTATGTCTATGTCACTAGGCATAGTGCACTGTGAGAGACAGTTATTGAGTTGGTATAGAGGTTTTGGAGGCCCCTTGACTCTGAAGAGAAGTATGAAAAAATTTTCGTCAGGGGGAAAGAGAGGTCTTGCATAAAAGCTCTCCCCAAGAGAAAGAAAGAAAACAATGTCTGCAACAAAAGAGGAAAGTTTTCTAGCCCCCGTGGGGTTCCTGGGGGATAGATGAGGAAGAAGTATGCATGAGGGTGCATCCTTTACTAGGTAGCAGTCTCCCAGGGCTCTGGCAAGTGATCCACAGGGACAAAGCTCAATTCTGCTCTCTCTTTCCCCCAACCAAACACAACTATAAAATTCGCCTTCCCACACCCTCTTCCCTCAAACAGTTTATCATACTGTGCTCTTAAGTGCTTTCTTCTCCTCCCAAGTTCCCAGTATCTCTTGTGCTCCAACCTCAGCCTGCAGTGAAGTAATGAATAACTTTAGACTAGTTACCCTCAGTACCTTGAAGTACCACTTTAAGGAAACCTGGATATTGCAATGCTGGAAATTTTAGAAAACTTGAGGAGTAATTTTTTGAGTTCAAGGACCATCTTGCCCTATCACAACAGACAAATGCTGTATAGACAGATATTCAAGCAGATAGATAAGCTGTTGTTTTCTACTTCCTTTCCCACCATACTACATACTGTGAATACTTCCTAAATGAATAGGCCAGAATTCTCTCCCCATGGCTTTATTTTAACTCCACAAAGTCCTACCCTTTCCTAGACTGAGGTAATCTCTTCTAACTCTGGGTTTATTTCTATTTAGGGTATTTATCATAACATGACATGTATTACATTGAGTTGTTTGTAATCATCCCTCACTAGATGGTGAAGTCCTCCTGTATGAAGGCCAGGTTTTACTTATCTTTGCAAAATTCCTTTTTTTCCTAGCTTCTTTTTCCTCCTCATTTCCCTCAAATACTTACTGATCACTTCTTGTGTTTGATTTTGGTTTGCTGGTGATGAATAAGACACTGGACCTCTTGAGGGTGTTATCAACTAGTTCAGAGAAGACAAATATGCAAATCATCAGATTATGATATCACAGGAATTACTAGTAGTAGTGATAGACTAGAGGAAGAATAATCCAATGTATCTGGGGTAAAGGAGAGAATACACATTTATTAAGCACCATTCTGTACCAACTGTCATAGCTATTCCATAAGCAGGTACCATTATTTTCAATTGATTGAGAGACAAAGGAACAGAGAAATTAAATAAGAATAAATCTCAATATAGTGTAGTCAGTACCTGTATCCATCCTATTAGACCTTAAAGTCATATTCTTTTTGCTACCACCCTTCACAAAGGGGGTGATGTTAAAGTAAAATCTTGAAAAATATATGGGCTTTGATACTTGGTTAGAGGGGAGGGATATTGCATGTAGAGGGAGCATCTGGTGAGATTATATGTTGGTGGCATATAGCCTACTATATTCAGGTGTCCTCAAGTAGTCTTGAGCTCAGGACAAGATTTGAGATTGTAGAGGGTCAGTATAAAGTGGCTTTTTAGCAGGCAAGCACTCTCTCACTTGAGCCACTCACTCAGGCCTCAAAGTGGCTTTTTGATATACAAAGAACTAATTCATGGATAGTCTTTATTCCATTCCATTTATTCTTTAATAGGAAGTCAGTGAGTGATATCAAGCTGGCACTGATATGATTGTATTTACATTTAAAATGGAAAATTTAATATCAAAGGGAAGGGCACATCAGAAACAAGAAATCTGGATTTCTTTTTTATTTTATTTTATTTGTTTTAATTTTTATTTTATTCATATGTGCATACAATGTTTGAGTCATTTCTCCCCTCTTCCTCCTGCCCTCTCCCTTACCCGCCCCCCAGCTTCCTCCCTTACCCCGCCTTACCCCTTCTTTACCTGGCAGAAACTATTCTGCCCTTATCTCTAATTTTGTTGAAGAGAGAGTATAAGCAATAATAGGAAGGACCAAGGGTTTTTGCTAGTTGAGATAAGGATAGCTATACAGGGAGTTGACTCACATTGAGTTCCTGCACATGTGTGTTATCTTCTAAGTTAATTTTTCTTGAACTAACCTTTTCTTTAGTTCCTGGTCCCCTTCTCCTATTGGCCTCAGTTGCTTTAAAGTATCTGCTTTAGTTTCTCTGCATTGAGGGCAACAGATGCTATCTAGTTTTTGGGTGTCACCTATCCTCATACCTCCCTTGTGTACTCTTGCTTTATCATGTGATCAAAGTCCAATCCCCTTGTTGTGTTTGCCCTTCATCTAAGAAGCTAGGGAAGAGATATTCAGCTTCTACCTTTGCTGATTTCCACTCAGGCAAAACTGAGAAGGTCATGACTCCATGGGGACAATGATCACATGGTATTTTAAGTGAATGTTGCCCCTAGTGTCATGCAACTGTTTTACTATAAAGTAGAATTTCCTTTTTCCATACTTTGTCATAGTCTTCTAAAATTGCACCTAAAATATTTACTTTGTAGTTTTTCAAGTGTACATGATTTCATTTAATAGATTGTTAGCTGTTTGAAAGCAGTGAACAAATCTTTCTCATCTTTCTCTTTCCAGCTTATAGTACAGGGCCTGGACCATAGTGGGTATTCCATAAAGACTTGCTGAATAAGTAAATGAATACATAAAATTATATAGCAGTCTGGAAAAGTTGTATGGTCATGACTGGACATCTTTGTATTAGAAAAACTCAGTCAGTAATTATTTGTGTGAGCTTCAACTGCTTAATCTCATTGAACCTGCTCCCTCAAGGCTAAATTAGAAGTGATATATCCTAATGTGTGGAATCACCAAGATGAGTAGAAATACTGTATGTAATATGCCTACATAGATTACTAGCCCTAGTAGGTCTTAATAAATGACAAGTTTACTATTAGCTACTGTGATGCTGTCAGTGTTGCCCACATCCCTCAAATCTTACCAATGAGTGTGTCCAGGCAACTTCTCAATTTTAGTGTCTATATTTCTCTGCCAGGAATTTCAGTCTAGAACTTAAAAAGACTCCCTTGCCTGGGTTCAGCATGTCAGAAGTCCTTGGAGCTTAATAATCAATGATTGACAGCAGCCAGTGTGCATAGTTCCCTTTTGCAGGCAAGGGATAGCTCTGAGTATGTGTCCTGTCTCCAGAGTCTCTGCACTCACACAGGGATCGCTGGTTTGGGGAAGCATCTTTAGTGGTGGCTTTTCTTCTGATGCTTCCTCACTCCCCTAATGGCATCTGTCGCACCTCCCAAACAAACCATTTTCTTCTTAAATCCTTGTCAGAGGGTATACTTTTGGAGAGATGGTAACTTTTCTTTGAATGCCTAGTAAGTATTATGTGCACAAGCCTAGTGACATTTCCTCTGTTTTTCTTGATTACAATTATAATACCCACTTCCATTTTTTTTCTCCTCTGGAGTCTTGATTACTGGAAGTATTTCATGGTCTTTTGTTATTGTTGTTGGTGGTGGTTTATTATTTTATTTTTGTTAGCATACATCAATTGTAAGGGGGGTATTTCATTGTAATATTTCCATAGTATTATTTGGTTTATTTCTTTTCTTTTGTTTGTTTGTTTGTTTTGATACTGGGGAAAATATCCAGGCTTTATACAAGCTAAGCATATACTTTACCAATGAGGTACTTCCCAGCCCCCTAGTCTTACCCTTAAGAATTCTGTAACCTGGCCTACTAGAGAAGAATTATGGCTTATTTCTATTACTCTAAGAAGAATTCCAGAGCCCTCCTGTGTCTTTCTTGGGAAGGCATACAGAAAAACCAACCAGAATTTCATTCATGTAACCTCTTCTTTATTTTTTCCTCCCCTTCCTTCTGTCCCCTCCTCCTAACCATCTTCCAGGTGTGGTTTCAGAACCGAAGAGCCAAGTTCCGCAGGAATGAGAGAGCCATGCTGGCCAATAAAAACGCTTCCCTTCTCAAATCCTACTCAGGAGACGTGACTGCTGTGGAGCAGCCCATCGTACCTCGGCCTGCTCCAAGACCCACCGATTATCTCTCCTGGGGGACAGCCTCTCCATACAGGTGAATGACTGGCCCACTCTCCCTTGCTCCAGTTCACATGTTTCTCACTGATCGGTCACACTCAAAGCTGCTTTTGTAGCTGGCTGACATATTTTACTGAGTTAACCTCTTCAGAGACACTCAACTTGCTGACATCCCCACATTTGCACAGGAGATTACTAGTTGCCCCAGGAACACAGAAAGGGGCAGGCCATCAGCAATCTCCTCTTGGACTCAGGAACTCTTGCAAAGGTTTCAAAGATGGGAAATGATCATTACTGAGCTGTGCCCGATGCCTCTGTTACAATTATTCTGGAAGAAAACTACCCCATTTCCAAATTAAGATAGATCTGTTTAACTATGCTCAAGTTGGGAATTAATATTTAATGCTCCAAGAGTAAGACCAAAGGTGAACTTTTAAAATTGGCTTTAAATTAGAAAAAAAAAATGGAAAGAAGAGAAGAGGGAAGGAAGGAAGGAGAGAGAGAGAGAGAGAGAGAGAGAGAAGGAAAGAAAACCCAAGTTCATTCTTATCACTTTCATGACTTCAGCTCTTGTTAGTAGTTGGGTATTTCTTATGAACCCCGCCCCTCATGCCTTCCTCTTCTATTGCTAATTCTTATCTACTTAACTGAAGATTTCTTTGGGAATCAGAGAGAGAGAGAGAGAGAGAGAGTGTGTGTGTTTAAAAAGAATGTATAATTTACACTAAACTTTTGAATTTTTTTGAAGAAGCAAATAACACAATACTATTTCAGTCTCACTGAGAGGCTTTTAACCTCCATTTATTATGCTGTTCAAAAACATAAGTCCATGCCAGAAGGGAAGCTGAGATGCATGTGGCTAACACATTGTGGTTAGTATAAACCACCTCTCTTTAATTTATAAGAAACTAGGTCAAGGATGCATGCTCTTCCTGGGTGATATCAGTGGAAGAAGTATTCACAAATTTGTTTGTTATGCTTTTGTTTACCTTTTTATTGTTAGGGTTAATTATTGCCTTAAGGAAAGTTTTTAAGGTAATTATAGGAAATTATGTTCTAGCTGAAGGTGAACTTCTGATGTGAAATGTCACATTTGTGAAACACAAATGCTTTCCAAAAGTTAATAGCTCTTATTAAAGCCAAAAGCCTCACCTAAATGTTCTTTCTGTTCCAACTTGGTTCTTCAGACAAACACCTTTAATGCATTTAGAAATTTATTTTATATTCCTTATTGTAAAATTAGTCTGAATTAACTTTGGTTTTAGTACATACAGACCTCATGTATAAGAAAGTCCTGTTATGTGCCCATTGACTCTGGCCTTGCTGATTTTGAAAGATTAATTATATCTGTGTGTCCTAACTAAATGTTAGACCTCCCCCCATATGACTTACTAAAAACACATTTGGAAGACCATTATAAAACTACATATTCCTTAATATTTTTAAATAAGTAGAAGGCTGCTTTGTTTCTCTTACAAATACAGGTAGTCCACAGACTCATTAAATGTCTTGATTTGAAATGGGTATAGTTCAATGCCTGATGCATCAAGGTCTCTTGTTTGAATTTGGTCATAAAGAGGAAGCATTACTCCTACCCAGGAATAGGAACTTTTCACACCAGCTATAAATAATCCAGATGGCTGCCACATGGCTCTTACCAGGGAGAGGCTGAGTATAGCACACTGCACGAATGGGGTTGAAATCCTTTCTGAATTAGTGTTGGGTTATATTACCTGGACCAAAGCAGAGGTCAAGCCTGTGTCTGCATCATATGTATTTTGCATGTGGGCATCTAACTGAAATCATTACTATGGCTATTCATGTGTGCTTTTTTTGGTAAATATCTTATTTTAATTGAAAAGATTATGTAGAAATTCTAGATACATTTTCAAAAACATAATTCTACCATATTGACAAAACTAGTTTGTTCATTTTTGTGACTAGAGTTCAATATTTTATGTAGGTGTAGCCTAGTGTACATATTATTTTGTATTTTGCTCTTTTCATTTAAAATCATATAACCTAGTATTTTTACTCATTTTATGGTATGCTTTTATGTAATTTTTCTCTTCAATACAGAGTTTGTAAAAATTAATTAAAATAATATCAAAGAAACTGATTGTTCATATTCTGTATGAAGAATAAAATAATCTCCAAATATAGATAGGAAAGCAATGGGTTAAAGCAATAATTTAATCAATAGTAGGGGGTTTTGACCCAATGTTGACTAAAGTGTTTATATTTTGGTTAATTTTTCAAAAAGGCTAAAAGCTGTTCTGTTACTTTGAGATTTTTCCACTGTGTTTAAAATCAAATATACTATGATTTCACACTTTGAAACTTGCTAGGAAACACAACTTTTGTTGAGGAAATGTAAAAGAAAAACAAGTTTTGAAAAGCAAAAGAAATGATAGACCTTTTGTGTTATGGAAAAACTAACTCACTATTCCTATTGGTACTAGGATGTCAAGTTAGTTACCTCACATGTGACATTTGTTAAGAGGCATTCTCTTGGTTAATCCTTGGAACACTCCTGTGTGACAGCTCTGTCCTTCTTCCAGTTCCAAACAAGAGGACACTGAGCACTTGTCCAAGTTTAAGTACTCAGCAAGCAGAGTTAAAACTAGTGGTTGTGAGCTCTCTTTCGAACCCTGTTTCAAAAAATTAAGCATAAAAAATTACCATATTTTTATTCAAATTAAACTTTACATTGTAAGTATAAGACTGGAAATCTATCTAAACATTCCCTTTTGATTCAAGGTCTGTTTCAAATCAGTGAAAGTATACCTACCACTGAGGTCTGCCTTCTGGGGTATGTGGGCATCCCATTGAGGTGACCATGTGGCTTGGTCATGCAACTCAGGGACAGTGAATAGATAGTTTGTCAGACAGAACAGTTTTCTGACTTTGATGGCTCTTCCTGGAATAAGAAAGGAGAAAACCAAGGCACATTTGCATATGGTCAGAATTATGGGCTGGAAAATAGCCAACACATTTTTATGGGTGCCTTTTCCATTTGGAATGGTGGCTGTACATTTATCACTCAAACTGGGACATTTTTGAGAATGAAAGAAGAGTGGTTCTAATAGTTAATATTATATAACAGGTATAAACTGGGGCTGTCCCTGGAAAATTAGGACATATGGTTCACTCTAAATATAGCATGTCATCACCTCACTCATTCCCTTGAACATATTATAGATGATGCTGTCAGGCAGGCAACTGAGTCACCAGAGGGAGCAAAGCATTCCCTAACATGGGCATTACTTTCCTGGAAGGTGTCTTCTTTATTTACCTGTGGCCAATTGAAGGAAGCTTACTTTTGGAACACAGGGTCACTGATTAGCTCAGAACTATTTTCCTAAAGCAAATTGTAAGAATGAAAGCACACATGAGCACTACAATTATTAAGACTGACTAATCTTGTAGTGCTATGCCTCTTAGGAAGCATGATCAACTGAGTCTTGGACTTTTGACTAGTATTTGAGATGATGAAATAGCCAAGAACCTTTCCCCAGAGACTTCTGTTGCCATAAGAGGTAGATAGCAAATGGCCTGGCTCTGCAGTATTGGTTCAAAGTGCCATTTTAAGAGGGAGTGCAGGACTTAAAAGTAGTGATAAGTAAAAGAGAGGTTGACTATCCTTGTCCACATTTTCCCTCCCCCATCCTTTTCCTTCTTCTCCTCCCCTCATTTGGTCGTGGTCATGGTACTGCCTGACATCTGCTGAACGCATTTGGCTCATTTCTCCCTTTCACACTTTCAAAAATAGATCCTCGTCCCTCCCAAGATGTTGTTTACACGAGGGGCTTCATAACGGATTCTAACGGAAGACACTGAAAAGGTAACTTGTCAGAGGGGAGGAGGGTGGCTGCTGTGGGTAGGCTTTAAAGGGGAATTAGTTATGCTTAAGAAGTGGGGGTTGAAGTCTTAGAAATGTAAGCAGTGAGGTCCTTGAGTGGAGAATACTGTTGGAAGCCAGAGTTATAACAAAATGTATCCATAAAATTAAGAAGAGTATGAGAGTCTACAGCAGTACTCTTCAAGAATGGCTGTGCCCAGGAATTGCCATGTAGATTCTGATAGACTAAGTTTAGGGTAGGGCTGTGATTCTGCATCTCTAAATTGCTCCACTCCAAGGTGATTCAGACGCACATTGAATAGTGAGGCTTTAAGTGACTTTAGGGGTGTGATGCAGGGGTCAGAAAGACTATGTTCTTATCTTGGCTTCTATTGCTACTCAGGCCAACCAACCATTGATTTTTTTATGTAGTCTTGTATCTAAATTTCTGCTAGCAATAGTTTCTCTATTGCATATCTCACAAGGGCATTTGGAACCTATAGATAAGCAATGTGCATTTCAAAAAAGAAATATAAAAAATTTTACAGCACTAGTAAAATACAAGAGGCTTTATATATAAAAAATTGCCAGAAAGAAAAGTTAAACATTACAGATCATTGAACATGTAGTAGAAACTAAAGGCTTATCAATGAAATGCAGTCCAAGTGTGTCCACTTAAAAGAGCCAAAAACATATTTAAAAAATCAGATTTGGGGAGTGGCTCAAGTGGTAGAGCACCTGCCTAACAAGCATGATACCCTGAATCCAACCCACACTATCCCCCTACACACCAAAAAAATCAACTTCTGAATTTCAAAAGAAATTGCTGTGTAAGCCACTCCAGACCATTTTCAAAAGCATTGATGGGATCTTTCTTTAGAAGTAAATTTCCCTAGGAAAACTGGTATTGAATTTGCTTAGATGAAGCAATTATATCTCCATTATTCTTGCACTGACAAAAGAACAAACCAAAGAGATGGTCTTCAGCCTCTACACATCAGAGTCTCAAAAACTGCAAGCTCTACAGCTTTTAAGAAATATTGAGCTGGTGATATCTTAGATTCTCAGGGAGACCGATGGTCTTTTTAGGCCAACACATTTGTCTTTGGGGTGAAATTTTAAACAGCTTGCCATCATTTGGTCAAAAGGGCCTAATAGAAAACTATGTTAAAGTTGAAAACAGAGTCAAGTATTATTTTTTCTTAAGTCATCCGCAATTGTTCTGTGATTTATAAGATGTACATTATGAGTGATTGGATGCCGAGGAGTAGTTATCTATAAGTTTCCTGGCTTTAAAATTGTACCATTAATAGTATTTTCTGTACTTTCTCTGTGTTTGCAGTTATTTTAACACATTTTTCCTCACAGCAACCTTTCAGAGTGGGTTGAATGGATCATAAATGACGTATCCCCAGTGAAAACATTACTCCAACCCTGCTGGTGGGGTTTGCATTCTGCTGTCTAGAGCTGGGCTGCATCTGCTAGGAATCTCCAAATAAGGAAATGAAAAATTTTCAAGCTTACTTAAATGTGTCAGCTTTGTGGAAGTCCTAGCGCAGACTCGATGAGTCAACAGTTGAGATACAAGCATTTTTTTTTCATCTCTAATGTCTCGATGCATTTTATTTGGCAATGTAGTTTTTGGTCACAGACACAAAGAACTTTATCAAAAATTCAGTAGAAATAGTGCTTTACCAACCTTGTAAACTCAGTTCCTAGACTCAGTTCATATCTGTACCCTACTTACAGAAATAAATGGCTGTTACTCAGAAGGCAAGACTTGCAGGCAGATTCTGTGTTGTTAAGCAGGCTTTTGGTTGTTGTCTGTGCTTAATCTATACAAATCACTTAGTTTCAGTCTTAGTGTTTTATCCCAGGAAGTTTAATCCTGTATAGGAAGGACTGGTCATTTTACATAGTCTGAATGACCCATAAATTGCTTGAAAACAAGTTATCCTCTGGTGTTTCTCTTGTGGAAAGACATTTCACATTTCAGGGTTCTCTTTCTTTTTTCTAGAGCAGAAGCTTTAGAAACTTCCGTGACATAGAAAACAGGTGGCCATGAACAGTCATTCAGATTGGCAACCATTCAAGGCTCTCTTGTGTCTGTTGTCACTTTAGGAAGCAAGTACTCTCTGTCTTCCAATGTCATGTTTGAAGCATGACTAAACTAGTCTTAGAGTACTCACTTTTTAATTCTATTTTTTTCTGAACTGTAACAAGTCTTTTATTTGTCACTGGTATGTCAAAAGACTGTCCAGTTCTTAACTATATGGCATATTTAGCTCAAGTTGTAGAACTAGACCCATGACAAACTACTGAATGGAAACATACTCTTTAGTATATGCACAAAATATCACTGGAATCCATATTTGTAGGTTGACATATTCTAAACATTTGTTAAGAGGCAGTAAATTAAGATGGCCTCATCCTTTTATCCTACATGGCCAGAGTCATGATATGCTGAAATAAGTTAGATAAATTTTTGTGACTTTCTTAAACATTTATCAAGTGAAAATGTTACCACTTATTGATTCCCCTAGGGAATCTCAAAATTCATTCACTAATATTAACTGATTTCTTATCCTCAAGCCCTACTAACTTAAGTGATTCCTAGAAAGCTTTGCCATAGACTTACTTCTAAAACAGTGTTCTTATAATAACATATGATTGGACTAGGGCACCATTATCTGCTGCAGAAGTTCAGGCTGCCATGTAAGTGAAAAATATCTTGGGGGAATATCCAGTCTCCTGTGTAATATAGGATCCTAACTCCTAATAATTTTTTTTGGGGGGTGATAAAGCAGATCAACATTCATCTCATTTTGGATATTACGGACTGGTCTACATTGCGGAGAAAAATTCAGTATTTCTAAGAAAGATCTTATCATAGTAAGTCCCCAGCCTAGAAAACCAGATGGTGCAGTTAGTAGATTATGAAGGATCTGCAACAAAAATGGTGCTTAGTAGACAAAACTGCAATCACCACCATAGTAGACATTACTCAAAAATAGTCATAACATCTTTAGTAAACCAAAACAATCCCTTTGTATACTAAGGAAATGCAACACATCTTTGATTCTCAAAGAAAGGGTGAATTTCTATTAACTAGGACTTTGCTGGTCCAGATTCTAAAACAATGGAAAACATGTCTCAGAAGATTAGCCATGTAGTTAAAAACATAATACTCAATGACAATCTATAATTTAATACCAGAGAAGTTGTTTTTCCTCTATGTTCTCTCATGAAGTTTTAACCTCATGTATTGAGAAGCCCCAATTTCATTCTTAGTCCTAACACCTCATAATTCCAACTTCAGTCCTCTGTGTTTAAAATGGTGCTGTGTACCATTTTTAGGGCTAAGTTCTCTCACAGGCACCTGGTTAAGGAAAGCTGATTGAGTTGACTTTATAATAATCTACGATTTAGGTATATTTCCCAAATCCAATTATCATTTTCTTTTTTTTTTTCAGCTGTTAGATCTCTGGGTCCCTGGCATATCCTAGAAATTTCTTGACTATAGGTTTTATGAGCTTATATATATTTCCTGTAGGGTCTTGAATAGAGGTCTGCAATTCATCTAGGAATTAAATGATTAATGCGGGAGCTGGGATATAACTCAGTGGTAGAGCATTTGCCTAGCATGCATGAGGCCCTGGGTTCAATCCCTATCATCAAAAAAGAAAAAAAAAGACAAAAAAATGATTGATACAGGTTTCTGAAATAAATGGTATTTGTTGGTACATTCTGAGAAAACAAAACCCAAAACTTTTCCTGTCTTAATGGTTCGTTCTGATCATTCAGCTCACTCAATTTAAACCTACTTTAGCTGAGGACTCTTCTGTTTCTGTCCTTTGGTGGACAATGGTAAAAGTGACAGTCTGTTTTATAAGTCTTAACTGTATTGATATTTACTTTTTCATTTTTATTCTGAAATGACTGTTTATGGATTCAAGAGTATGCAACCATTGGCTCCTCGTTCTGATTTTGTTCTTTCTATATTAAGATCTTAAAATCTACAGTATGGACTAGTTTTTAAGAATAAAAGAATATTGTCACTTTCTTTTAAAGAAATATCATTCTCATTCTCACAACCAATGACAGAGATCAGTGAAACTGAGCAGGAATTAGTTTTATCATAATATATCTAGATTTGTCTCAGTTCTTTGTCTATTCATTAAATAGTTTATTAAACAACAAATGTGTGTGAGGTGTGGTGTCAGGTCTACCTGACGATATAATTGTGAACAAGGTAGAGGTGATAGCTGATCTATGGAGCTTATACTTGAGGACAGTAATAGATATTAAACAAGTTATTGATTACAAATAAAGTAAGTGCTAAAAGCAGATGAACAGAGTGATATAGGAGAATCTACACTTGTCTGGGAGGGAGTTAAGAATGTTTACTCAGAAATGATTCATTAGAGTGAAGCTAGCAAAAATGAAATAGAGAGTAGTTGTTTTGTAACACTCCTGAGTCTTTTTTCCTTTTGCCATGACATATGTACACACAGGTTCTCTCTCTCTCTCTTTGCCCTCCCCCCTGACACACATACACACACACACACACACACACACACCACTTACCTAAATGCTTATACCAATGCTATATGGTTTTTAAAGATGTGTATTTCTGGGAAAATTGAGGGATCGGAAACTAATTGTATATCTTTAACTTAATTTTCCTGAGTTAATTGCTAGTGACTGTGCTTAAGTAGGCTATTACAAGTCTTGACTATGTGGTGTCCCAGATGAGTATACATTCTCTGTATTTGTAGAGTAGCTTTAGTTTTCTCTTTCTGATCACAATTGTCATTTGATCCCCAGAACTACAAACTCCTGTGTGGCTGACAAAATTCCATCAGAATGCAGGCAACAGAAAAAGCACATCATTCAATTTATAAGTCTATTTATCCCAGTCCTTAGTTGAAAGGGATTTTGCTAATCTTAGAAACAACTAGAAACACTTTCATTAGTTAAAAATGAGTTTCCTTTTAACTATGTCCCATAAAGTAAAGGATAATTTGCATCTAAATCTATACACCATTTCTTTCTCCTTTAAAAGAGATTCATGGATGCAATTAATAGAAACCCAATGATAAATTTCTCCCCCACAGTGCTCCTAGGTCTTAATTACAATCTTTGACAATGAAAAACAACTTCACGGTTTTTCTCAGCAATATGGACAGTGAAAACCAGTTACCTCTAAGGTCAAGAATGCTGAAGTTGGAAACTTTGATAATTTATTTAGCAAATTTAAACATTTCCAAAATAACTGACCCAAAAGGCAGTATGTGCAACTTAAGTACTTTTGAGGAAAGGTTATAAAATCAAGGTCAGTAGGAGCACCTTTATTCAGCAATGTTTGGTACTATCAAACAGAAAATGAAGAGTGGCAGAGCAGTTGCAGTTGGTTGTTGAACTGATTCTTCAAGGACATTATTATGGTATTTTACTGATTATCTAAAATACATTAGAATTAAAGTTAGCTACTTAGAGTGAAGATGCAAAATTCCCATCGGTTTACTGTCAAATGCTTGCTTTTCTTCCTCACTGTTCCCACAGGCTGGGTGATGCAGGCAGAAAGAGAGATTCAATACCATTTTCATTAGTCAGCTGGTGAACACTCTGCCATGCAACTTTCTTCTCTCACCCCAGAAATAAATCATTACTCACTATATCCAACACAGCAAATACCTCTCCCTCCCCTGGCCTCACTCTCCTCTGCTTTCCCCTGACCTGAAAGACATGGCCACCCTTTTCCAAATGCCTTAGACTAATAGTAAGCTGGGCTTGTTCGAGACCCTAGAGGTCATCTAGTGCAACCCACCCACCCTGCCTGCCCCCATCCTGAGAGTACATCCACCTGGAGCAGGGACTCGCAGCTTTGTGAAACTAATGCCTGTTGTTCTCCCTGCTCTCTCCTTTGTCCCTACAGCGCCATGGCTACTTATTCTGCCACATGTGCCAACAATAGCCCTGCACAGGGCATCAACATGGCCAACAGCATTGCCAACCTGAGACTGAAGGCCAAGGAATATAGTTTACAGAGGAACCAGGTGCCAACAGTCAACTGAGGAAAAAAAATTAAACAGGCCTAAGAAGAAATCAAAAACCATAAGACACCTATCCTGCTCTGTCATTTCTTCATCTGCTGGAAAAAAAATATGTAGAAGCAAACAAACAAACAAAAAAACAGAACTAAAATATTGGGACCATGGCAGAGAAAAGCAGGAGAGGAGCAAAATGAAAATTAGTTAACAAATATTCCTCCTCCCTCTGGATACCACCATCATTGTTTCTGTGTGTGTTTATTTTGTTTTTCCTTCTATTCATGCTTTGCTTGATATACTCCAAGCTTTTTCAGTTAGGTTCAGTCCACCCACTCCCATAATTATATGAGGTTTTAAAAAAAATCTGCAGCAGCCAAAGAAATATGTATAAATATTCAGACTGATCACCCAGAACTTCTCATCAATCTGTTTGGCCTCAGTGCCTTACTTTGTCCTCTTTCTAGTTCTCTCTAGGAGCTTTTGAAAAGCCAAAGTCATTCTGAAAAATCTGTGCCAGACATGCTTTCCTTTCTCATTGTCTCTGTCTATTGGTTATAGTAGGGTTTTTCCATCAGCTACCAGAAAAAAAATTGTGTACAAGTTCTCCTCATTGGTCTGTCTAATCTCTCTAATCAATTTGATTGGCTGTGTCTGGTGAATTCTAAGCTCTAAATTCTAGATCTAAGCTACAGATTTAAACTCTAAACTATAGATTGTAATATCACCATCACCACTTCACACTCCTATCCAAAGACTCAACCATCTTAAGTTAAAGATATTTGTTGAGTTTGAACAATTTGCTGTCACAGACTATTTGATAGAGGAAATATTTTTCACTTGAAAGAGGGAGAGAAATTTCTCTAGGACAACAGAGATTGAATTGTGAAAGGCATGGCCTATATCTTTTTGGTGCCTTAAGGGTAGTCTAATGTACACACACACACACATATATATATATACTGTATATATTTATATATTATATATATATAAAATATTGCAAGCTTGAGTTTGCATTTCTCAAACACTACCAAAAGCACAGTTCATATTATCAACATTGTCTTTTTCTCTACAGGGATGAGACATTAATTAAGCTTCTTCTTTTCTTATTCTACATAAATTTCTCATTAAGGCCACAGAGCAGTTGGCAAGGCAGCTGTTTGAGAACAGGTCTTATTTTAACATTCAGGCTTTCAATGAATTAAAAATAATTTGAAACTATAAAAATGTCCTTGAGTTTGGAGCCTGGGCTCTGGTGAATTGCTGGTGTATTCTGATCTGTCATGGTAAATACACTTAGAAGAGGGAAAGTTATTTGATAATCTGTTCTTTCTCTACTCAACAGAAATATAAAAGATATGATGCATATTTAAGTGGAATAGTTAATGGTTTGTCTAAATTCCAAACATTTTAATAGCAATTATGGGCTTTTGTTTTTTAGTGTTTTGAAATAAAGTTTATCATTGAGGGCTGGCAGCCGGGGATGATATTTCTTTGTTTCTTTCTCTTTGTTCCTAGCCATTGCCAGGTGGACTTGACCAAACCACATTACCATGCTGTGCCTCAGTTTACCTATTTATAAAATGGGTTTGACAATACTTACCTACCTCACAGGGGTGTTGTGAGGCCCTCTTCATCTGCTCCTTCTTTCTTTCCTATATTCTCTGTATGTCCAGCACTTTGTAGCCATGGGAGGAAAGGGACTATAAAAGTGTACAATGTTAATGAAATATATGGTACCTGGAAGCCTTGTTTTCTAGCAAGGAAATGCTACCTTGCTGTACATACTTATAACCTTGTATTTGGAAATGAGAAATAGGTTTATATTTTCAGATGTCTCAAAACTCACATCATTTGACCAAAGAATAATTTAAGACACATACACAATAGACATTTTTAACTTATATTCTCATCCTGATCAGCTTGGTTATAATTTTAGTTATGCAGTGGTCAAAAAGATTTAGATTGATTTTGGCCAAATATGCCAACTCTGTACTGTGAGTGACAGGCAAGGAATTTGGGGTGAAAGATGCACTTTTAGCACACATTTGTATTTCCCGTGGCATATCAGATTGAGCTAATAGTAATATTTTTGCAGTCTAAGAGCCACCAATCTGAAAATGTACTTCAAATGATCCTGTACTTCTTTCACTAATAAGAAGGAAACCCATCTTTTGCATTTTGTTCTCACCACTGACTCCCTCTTATTTTAACTCACTAATTAGACATTTATTACAGAATGGTTCAGATAAGCTGGCTGACCAACACATTACTTGCTTCTAAGGAGTCTCTCCACTCATTCTTTCTCTCCACTAATTGCTGTGGATTACCAAGTTTAAAAGGAACACTAACTATACCCTGGATGATGGGAATATTCTTTGATTTGTGAAGTAAATTTAATCTGAGAGATTGGGAAATTTTGGGGGTTTGGAGTTTGGGGAAAACTGCTAAAAGAGGGTTTGGGTTATAGACAAGGAATAAATCACACACTAAAAGGTTTTGCTAAGGAGCAGAAAATCTTAGAAGAGGGAGTGGAAAAGTAGAGGGTCATGTGAAAAAATCATTTGAAACCTTCATCCTGACATCCATTTCCAGTGGTCAGTAGAAAACCTGACCCCATAAATCTGAATGGTAAGGGAACTGGGAGATTTTATTCAATGCCTTGGGCAAGCAACGTCTGGGAATTTCACAGAGTAACCAGTACTGGTTAGTCATGACAATGCTTATTGCTGGTGACCAATGCCACAAGCATCTGTTATCTGAACACTTGATCAAGAAGTATGCATGTAGTACTAGCACTCACTTTTGTTCATTTATTTTTATTTTTTTCAAAAAAATTACAAGTTTAATAAGTAATTTTGAGGAACTGGCTCTTAAGCCAGTTGTCAGAAGAGGGTGTCAGGGCCACAAACACCAAGGCCTACCCCTGTTCCTCACCATCATTATACCCAGATAAGAAGAATACTATGAACTGTGTCATCAATCCCTCCCCAAACAAGATGCTGATTTGTAGGTACTTAGCAGGTTAAATTAAACCAGAAGCAGTGACCTAATAAAAAAAGGGAATGACATAATGGTAATAAAGATCTCATAAGAAATGTAATATGTAAATTATATCTTGCTTTATGATGTAAAATATACATTGTTTGCGCTAGAATAGAAATGATTTCTTTTCAATAAAATGAAAGAAGGATACTATAGTGTCTTATGGTATATGTTGAGTGCTGAGTCTTTCTCTTTGAACTTCAAAAGCATAGAACTACTAGGATCCAAGATGACATTCTGAAGAGTGAAGGTAAGAAAGATTTATAAATAAGAGAACTTTCATCAGAGTGTGATATTATTTCTTATAAAGAGGAAAAGAATCTTATTCTTCGAAAACAAAGACAACTGAGAGGAAGAGGGGATAACTGTAAGGTAGAACTTTTCTGAGAGTTTAGTAATATTTTTTAACCAACATCTTTAGCATCCATAAAACTAGATACTATGTAACAATAAAGACTTCATATAAAGCATATCTTTTTTACTTTAGAATACAAAAGTAGAAAAATAAAACATTTTAAGTACCCATTGTGCATAGCAGAGAGGCATGATAATGAGGAGAATAGAAAAACCACAATGTGAGACACCGATTCTGGTCTCATACCAAATAAAACTGGTACAAAAGGCAACTTGAACATGAACAAGTTTATGCAACAATTAAAGACAGTAAATCAATAAATATCAAATAAGTAGAGCAGACAGAAGGATTCCAGAAGAGGAAGAAAGAAAACACCATGAGTTGGAGTGGGAAAAGTATTTTATAGCACACTGAGACTCGAGATTCCCTGATACAAATATAGCAGTATTATGAAAAACAAGTCAGGCTAAAGGGAGGTCACATATGAGAGGGGGAGAGTAAAAGAAGGAAGTTAAGAAGGTGAATATGAATATGGTTGATGTACTCTCTATACAAGAATGAATATAAATCTGTTGAAACCACCATAAGAAGGGGACTATAGTAGAATAAAAATAGAGGAGATGAAACTATTCAGGTTATAATACATTTATCCATGGGAAATGCCACAAGGATAGTTCCTGTGTAGCTATCTTAAACAAACAAACAAACAATGTCATTTTTTTTTCCTTTACAAAATCAGAGAACAGTAGGGCAGAATAGGTCCTGCCTGGGGAGATTGGTGCCAGTGGGAGGGGGGAAGAAGTGGGGAAAGGGTGTGAGAGGATGAATATAGTTGAAATACTGTGTACACATGCATGTGAATGGAAAAATGAGACCTGTTGAAAGTGTTCCAGGAATGGGGGAAGAGGGGGAGGGATAAAGGAGAATGGCGGAGGGGTGAACTCGTGTATGATATATTTGATATATTGTAAGAACTTTTGTAAGTGCCACAATGTACCCCCACCCAGCACAACAATAAAAAATGTTTGGACTAGTGAAGAGAGAGTGATGGAAAGTGAAGAGGAAGGGATAAGGCAGGGATACAGACATGAGAAATTTGGCTTAGGAAAACGTAGCAAGATGATCCTGAATAGGATAAAGCAGAGGAAGAAAATACTGAAGATTGATGCTGAGCCTTAATCTTGAGACAAAGAGTTTAAACTTCTCCTCAGAGCATATGGATCTGTTGAGGATTTTTAAGCAGAAAAAGAAAAATGCCATGCAAAAATTTGCCATTTTAGCAGAATTATTCTTGCAAGACAATGAAGATAAACTACACCAGAATAAGAACTAGAAGTAGATTAAATAAAGACCGTGGTAGTGGACAAAACCTCCCCCAACACACACAGAATAAATAGAGAACATCTTGTAAGAAAAGAATCAATAGGACTTCATGGCAAGAAGAGAATTGAGTCAAACATAAAACTGGTTTGAAACCTTGGTGACTAGTAGATTGAATCACTGATAAAAATGACCAAAGCCCACAAAAATGGAGACCTAGTCCCAGAAGAAGATAATTGCAGTTTTAGACATATTATTGAAACTGAAAACTCCAGATAAGCTCCTAGTACATGAAGACATGAAAGTAGGAGTTGATACCAAGGTCAAGGATGAAGGCAGAAGTTTGTAATTAATTTTTATGAAAGTGACACTTTGAGATATGAAAATGAATGGCTACTTCAAAATGATAGCGTGTCATTGTGACAGAAATAGTTAATTCCCATAAAAGACTTTTGGAAGTAGTTTCAGTCCAGGGAGGAAAATTGAACTTTGAAGAATGTCTACCACTGGGGAGAAGACTATGGGAGTCTACTTAAAAGGAGCAGTTTGAAAGAAAGGAGGAGAATTAAGCCCCTTAGTTATTATTCCAGAGTTAAGAAAAAGTAGGCTTTCAAAAAGAAGGGATGTTTAACATACCCAAATGCCACAGAATAGAGCAGCTAATTGGGGGGTGGAGGAAAGGCCATTGGGTTAGTGACTTTTATGAACCCAGTTTATTACAGTGCTGGAGGAAAAATGTTGATTTAGCAAGTGATGGTAAGAATAAATGCTTTAAAACAAAAAAAGGGAAGTGGTAGCTTCAGACCACTGGCCTGCCATCCTAAATTCATTAAGAAAGAGTCTTTTAGTTGTAAGTAGCAGAAGCTTATCAAACTCATTAAAATCACAAAGAAGCTTTATCTGAAGGATAGCTCACCCAGTCCAGAAGTTCAGCTGGAGTCAGAGCAGCAGTGCCAGGGATTCTAGACCTTGGAGTGAAGCCCACACTTTGTCTTAGTCTTCTCAGCTTCTTTAATAAGATTTTGTGGACTGGGTGGCTTAAACACACCTCTTACAGTTATGGAGGCTGGAAGTCCCAGATCAGGATAACAGCATGTTCAGGTGAAGGCTTTCTTCCTGGGATGACCGTCTGCTTGCTCTAGCTTCACATGGTTGAGAAAGTGAGCCCTAGTTTCTTTTTCTTGTTATAAGGACACTAATTTTATTATGGGGGCTCTATCCTCATG